AATATAAACAATATAAAACAATATAACAATATAAACAATAAATATATATAAGATATGTGGATTAATATTACAAAAATACACAGTACAAAATGGAAATAGTTAAAAAAAACAATAATAAAAAACAAGAAAACAATAACAAATAATAATAAACATGGGGCCGATGCCATGTGCGTGCATGGAACAACCATGTACACACACAATCCCACCTAAGGATAATTTAGAGAATGCAATAAGAAAAATAATAATATATATATATTATATACAGTATAATTTAAAAATAAATAATAACAGGAATCAGTCCCAATGCTGAAAGTCCATAAACAATGTAACCTAACTAGGAGTAGAATAGGCTTGTCAACACCAGGGTATTTTCTCAGAGTAATCTGAGGTTACAACACTCCATCAACAGGACAGTACTTCCCTACAAATATTAATTTAATATAACACCGGCTTTCACATTCAAAGACAAAAGTTATGCATAAGTGCTCAGTCTTGGAAAGTTTAGTGGTATCATTTTTTTTGGTAAGGCATTTCATGCAATGGTAGAAACACAGTTGCATTTTTCATCTCACAAGAAATAATAGCCCTACCTTTTACAACAACCCCCATAATCTATTAAAAAACAATTAATACCATTTGGTAAGTTAAAACACACCGACTATAAATTTGAAGAGAGAGAGAGAAAAACAAAACAGTCAGGCTTTAAAAGCCCACAAAAAACAGTTGAAGTCCGGTTTGAAGAAGGCATTTTTCTTTGCTGTGTTAAAAACACTGTTCTGGAGGAGCAGAAAGCTCAAAAAGACTGACAGGCATGTCAGGGAAATGTCAAAGTCCAACTGGAAACTGAACCAAATCATGTGTTCACTCGGCTTCCTTGGGCTTTAAATGTGGTCCAGGAGTCGGAGGACGGTCCCCCAGCAGCTCCAGGTAACTCGGAGGTCTGTTAGGAGGTGGAGGACCTTGTTGATTTTGGAAGATTGACACGGTGCCTTCATCACCAGCTTTCACATGGATTGTTGGCCTTCTGCAGTCAGTGGCAACAGACTGGAAAGTTTCATACTCATCATAAAAACCGTTTCCTTGCCGTTTCAGGAGGTGTGAGTAGATTAGTGACTCATCGATCATGGAATACAAATGTTCATCCTCCTCAGAGCCTACTGGTAGCCTGTTGGGTGCTGGCTGGACGTGGTCGTTACCTGAATTGTAGACTGACACTTCTGGAACAGCTTCTCTATTATTCTTCCTTTTTTTGCAGAGAAAAGACACAAAAAACAAAATGTATTGACAAATACAGTTTGTAATTGATTATTAGAGCTAGAGAAAACATGAGAGCTCCATGTGCAGCTATTTCCTACATTTAGTTGTGCTCATCTCTGCTTCAATAGCTTTCATACATTAAATATGTTAAATTATTTATCCCAAATTTCTGATGCTTCTGCTTTTTATATGACTTTCATCACGCACTGAATGCAATTTAGCAGGTAATAGTTTTTGTTTAACTTTCAATTTCCTTTCAGTCTTACGTGTCAGTTTCAAACCCTTTCTGAAACGTTTATCTTGCCTAACAGGAGTCTAGTTCCCTCACTGGGTAAAAATGTTGGGAAATATAATTATCATTCTTCATATGTATATGTAAAACTAACAAGTGTTTCTCAGAAGGTGAATGGAGTTTTATATAAGTTAAACCTACTAGAGGCTTCAAAATACAAAGGTAATTCTTTTACCAATAATTACCTAAGGCCAGAGCTACAGTTTTTGAAAACGTAAAAGGCCAAGTCTTAATTTCGTTTGCACTCAAGGATGAATGAATCAGAAAACACCAGAAAAAATGTATGGTATCTACCAGGTGAGCAATTATACCTGTTAAGTATGGCTGCTTAAAATAAATCTATACTCTACAACCATTTTTTCTTATATATAACTAAAAATATTTGAAGCCAATTCATAATTTTTCTTTCTCCTGAGAATTAACTTGCTTTATGATCCATGACAAACATTTCTAAAACATACATTGAACATTGTGATATCCAAAATGTAAAACGGTTATACATGCAAGCAAAGTTTGTAAGGAAAAGAGAAATAAACTAAAGAACTCACTTAAGCCTTATGTAAACCATCAGCAGCAAAATGATGAAAATGATGAGTAGACCGACCAGAGCACAAAGTATTGGGATCACAAGAGGTTTGCCTAAAAGTTTGAGAGAAAAAAAAGAAATTTCAAATTTCTTTCGGCACATTTGCTCTAAAAAGTGAGAATAAACATTTAATGATTACAGAAATACATCGAAATCAACCCAAGAATGGCTCCACCAGAAGAAAACTGTCAATAACTATATCTGATGGAAAATCATTGGGATAGTGGGAAAATTTACCCAAATCAATCTGTAAAATTCTGAAAAAATAAAAATAAAAATCCACATAGGAAATCTTAATGATGAAATTGAGAAGAAGAATATTTTAGGTTGGCTTTTCCCAAACAATTTTTAGAGATCAGCCAATTATTCAGGATAAAAGATGTACAAAATATTTTAAGAAAAGTTAAGAAGGGAAAACAAATAATTCAAATAGTTACTGTGGCAAATACAGAAAAAATTTTTTTAGAAAAACAAAAAAAAATGTAACTTACTTTCAGATTTCTTCTGCAGAGAGACCTCAAAGGAGAAATTATTTAGTCTCTGGCCTGCTGGGAGCTCCAGAGAGAAACTCTGATTTTTCCTTATTGGAACCGTGTTGGGCCCTTTGGAACAGTATTTCTCCAGCGTAGCTCCTTTGTCTTGGAGAGTGAAGGTGTGTTTATCAGGACATGTTTTTTCCATACCAATCTGTTGGAGACCTCCCTCAAAACTGATCGATAAGGAGTTTGTTGATGAAGAATTAATATTCCAGGTAAACCTGCGACGGTATTTCTCTAAACCTGAGAATTCTTTATAAACCTGGGAGACCGTGTCACATGATGTCTGGCTACATGCTGAGAAAAAAAATAAGAACCCAGAGATAAAATTAGTCACTCTTAAAAAACATAATCTTTTATTTCTTCATACAAAAAGGATAGGTTTTTGTTCAGCCCTCCTTCCAATAGGACAGCATTTAAGCTTCCACAACTTTTCTGAAGGTTGGAGCAAACAAGGAGAAATCTATACCCATTTGTTTTGCAGGGTGCACAGATTTTTCCTTAGAAATGCCAAGGTAATTTAGAGTCAATAATGCCATGCCCTCTATCAAGGGTTAGGCTCAAATCTTATTCAACAAATGGCTTAAAGTGCTCCTCCTCATATTCGTCTATTTGTGGCTAAAAATCTTAGTCTCATCTAAACAAAGAGGGTAGTTCAAGTCAAAGTTTAGGTAACTTCACACATTTATATCTGTGATGATTGGAGAGTAAATGTCTGCCATTATCATTATCATTGTAACCTGCACAATATATGTGGTCTTCTGCATTTAACCCATCCTTTATGGACCTTTTTCCTGCATTTCTCAACATTAATTCAAAATATTTTTTTTTTGTCGTCCACCATCAAGCTCACCATGATATATTAATGTTGAAGCCCAGGAACCAGAATATAATGGATTAACAATGAGAAAAAAACATAAATAGGAATGAAACAATTATACAAATTGAGATAAAATCAAATTTTGGATTTTTTAGGATTTATTTTTCTCTGCAAAAAGAAAACATCTAAAGTATGAAGTTATGCAACTGGAATTAAAGATATTCTTATATTAAAAAATGCTTCAGCTACATGAACAGTAGTGCAACAAGTGATTTAAATTGGGTTTTACAAACTGTATATTGGACCCTACTGGATGAATATAACTTATTTTTGAAATTATGCCAATTTAAACCAAGAAAATATTTCAAAGGCTGCTTGTTAATCATTACAATGAATAGCAATACATTTATATGCAACTGCTAACATTCAAGAATAAAATTTAGTCTGAAGTCATACAGTTTTACCTATATTGCGCTTGATTTCCAGTGTCGGTAGATCTTGAGATTTCTTGCATTTAATCTCGATCTCCACTTTGATGTTTTTATCAAATGTTATGGAGTCTTTACATTGTTGTTGGGGAGGTTTAGCTGAATTTTTGCACATTTTGCAATCCATGTTCTTAGAGTTGATGATCCTGATGGTGGTTTCATTAGCAGGTTTAAAAGTCAAACCCTTGCATTCTGCAAAACAGAAAGTGGTTGTCTATTTATTAAGGAGGATAGGAAAGATGACTCCCTTCAATGAGGACATTGTATATTTGTCTCTATGCACGTTTCAGCTATGACAATTGGCTTTACAGTAGAAAGTAACAGCACTATCTACTGGTCTCACAATGGCATTACGCTAATTTATAAAAAACACACACACACACACACACACACACAAAAAAAACAAGTTAGTTGAGATCCCAGTAAAAATCCCTAACTTTTATTAAAAGAATTATTACTTCTACTTATTACTAATCCAATGTATCTTTCAGAAAGATTTAAATGGGGCAGACAATAATTGTTTAGGGAAGACTGCTAGTAGTGCACTCCTCAAATCTGGCCTCTATGGATGAGGGACCAGATGAAAACCGTTGTTTAAAGAAAGCCACAGGAAGCCTTAATTCGAGTTTACCACAAATCAAGAGGGAGAAACAACAAATACCCTGAAGAAGATTTTTACAGATTTCAAACTGAAACTGGGGCTTTAATAAAAATCTCTACACATGTGACATTAAACCAACACTTAGTATCATACTGTAAACCTTATTGCTTAATTCCTGAGAACGTGTATAAAGACAAACAAAAAAGTAAAATAAAAAGGAATTTCTTTTTAACAAAATAAATGAATAACCAGCAGTACATCAAGATCCAAAAGGTGATAACTTCTGCTATAGTGTATGAATAAAATGTTCTATTTACAACTGATACAAGTAGAACCAAAACATGGACAGTCACACATTCCAAGAGCTGGTATGAAAAAAAGAAAAACATACTGGAATGGTTAGGAAAATAAAACCAAGCGACTCTGCTTTACGTGTTTTTCCTGTTCCTCGGATGTAGACAAAAATTTGTTTGTAAAACAACGTGAGCAGATTTCATTCTTTAATAGAAATCAGGACATTTCCTAAACGCTGGGATTGGCCAAAATCAAATGCACCCCACACTTCTCAGATAGTTGGTTTTAAGTTGTGTTGATTAATCCTGTATGACATGTGCTTTTTCTTTGACTTCACAATTTTCTCCTGATGATTTGTAAATACTTATAAAAATGTTTGCATAAAGACGAAACAAAAAACATGTCTGAATCTTTATAAATGTAGTTGAAATAGCAATATTTCATAATTTAAAAGGCACACAAAAGATAAACCCACAATCCAATTTGAATAAAACAGGTCAAGCTTCAAATAACATTGTTTTGTTTGTTTTGACATATTTTAAAATGTACCCCTAACTATTAAGTTTAAACTGGATTAACAATACATGTCTCATCAATGTCTGATTTACATTTAAAATATTTTTACACACTTACCTGAAATTATGGAGATGAATGCAATAAGAAGTAAAATCTGCAGAAATACTCTTTCTGTTCTATTAAAGTACATGTTTTGTCTTTGTGAAGATGATCGTAGGAGTAACCAAAAGTTGTGTGCTCTTTCTTCAATTCTTGTTATCCACTGATGCGAACATTGCCACACATTTTAAGTTTTCTCCCTCCCACGCTTCCCTTTTCAGGTGCGCCAGCTGTGGTTGATTTTTAGATGCCCTGACTTGTTTTTTTCCATCCTAACGTGATCTGTTGCATGAATAGGAGTGACTGGATTACCTGAATTCAGCCAGATTGAAGGCGTGGCCAAGGCAGTTGGTGTTAATTTTTTTTTTATAGATTACAGTAAAGCACAACACATTGCTTCTAGATAAATGCAAAGTCATGGTGTTGTGCATTTATTAATATTAAAAAGTCTGCTGGCTATTTTAAAAGGACTTTCGTGTATTTAAATTCCCAAAACTTATATAATTTAGTTATTTAATCATAAACGGTTAATAGATTATATTAAAAAACACAAAACTGTTTTATATCATATAATAGCAGAATGAATTATAAAGAACCTTTGCCAACTTTGACACAAAGACAAAAAAGCATCTTTAAATACCAACTAAATTGACCAAGATTAAATAAAATCCTGGAATAAGTGTAAGAGTTTGTGTGGAGTTTTTTTTTTTTTTTTTGAGGACCCAAATGAAGAGACGAGTTTTACTGATTTAAATAAGAATCCCACGGGCAACTGAAGCTAAGTTAAAAAAAAAACAAAATACTGAAAAAAAAAAAAATATCAGAGATGAAAAAGCAACAAAACAACAAGAAACAAGCAATGAGGAACTGCAGAGGCGGTGTATATATGGAGAACGGAACAAATGATGGGCTAATGAGCTGATATAGAGCAGATGTGGACAGAAGTAACTAGAAGGGAGCCAAAGGCAAACACAAGGGGGCAACAGAGAGTAACTCAAGAAAGAAAACAACTGCATAGACACAAAATTACAAAGAAACTAAAAATTAACCTAACCAGAGGGCAGAAAACTCACAATTACTGTTAGTTTTGGGACTGTTCTAGGCCAAATCAAGTCTCACAATTACTTGGATTAAATATGTTTGAAAATGTTCAAAAACTCAAAAGCTTTAATTTACTTCAAAGTTCTACAAGACAACTTTAATTTCTAGATAAATTTGGCATTTCCATTTCACCAGTATTCTAAACTAATTTCATTTTCTCCTATATGGTATACATTCTGATCACTGCTGCACATTATAATGGTAATGTTCATTTCACTGTTGTAAGCTATATGCAACAGAAATACATTTCGTACACACTCTGTGTATACAAAATGACAATAAAGTTTGTCTAAGTCTATTAAAGAACAAAGTATTTGGCACTTATAAAATAATTGTAAAAGTAGCTCTTAGGCACATCCTTCTAGGAAAACCTTAGAAAGTTTCCAAGATTGCTCTGGGAATTTGACCTTGGTAAGATACAAGCTAATTGCAAAGAACTTCAAGCCTCAAGAGAGCTCTTACATGCATTTTTTATGAGCCAAACCAGGCCCGACAACCATGCTTGCAAAAATTCAAACCAAAAGGCAATTTGAAATACCTAGTTAATCCAATGTGCCTGTTTCTGGACCTGGAGAGAGACAACCAACCAATGCATCAGGAAGACATTATGAAGGAAGGCCTCCTGTCAAGATTTTAACCCAGGAACATCTTGCTGCAAGACACAAAAGCCTTGCTTCAAGACTTTTGTGTTGACAATTGCACTGCCATGCCTTTAGTTAATCTTTTGATCCAAATTTACACAGTTGGTTTCCAGTTTTGGACACAAGAGTACAGATGGTGTGATAGTGGTGCAGGAGTTGTTACTGTATGTATGGAGGCTTTGGTCCTCCACACAGCTGTCACAGGTTTGGATCCTGGCCCATCTGACCTTTGTCGCTTGTCTTCCTCTCTCTCTAAACCTGTTTCCTGTCCCCCTGCTATCGAAAATAAAGCCAATGCTAGTACCTAAAAGTAATCTTGAAATAGAACTAGAGTATAGATCGAAATCCTGAGGTAGTTGACCTTACTTTTGTTAATATTAAATTCGGCATTTAAACTCTAAAGAATCCAACAATATTATTATTCCAGATGTTACTTGGTTAGTAATCCCAGTTTTTTTTTTATAATTATTTTGAAATAACTTTCCTGAAGTCTGGAAGTTATGTAAATGTAAATCCCTTCACTGTCCCACAATGGGGAAATTCGTTCTCTGCATTTTGACCCATCCTCTAACGGAGCAGTGGGCTGCCATTGTGTGGCGCCTGGGGAGCAGTGTGGGGTTAAGCAGGGGTGCCTCTAGAAATATGTCATAGGGGTGGCCAGATGGGGCCTCTTAAATTCTTGGGGTGGCACAAAGAAACATAAATTCTGGGTTTTATTCTACTACTGTCACAGCAGAGGAATCCTCACTTCTTGTGTTCACTCAATGTCTGTGATGCCTCATCAAGTTAAGGATATTATCATAGCTTTTATTAGAAATCGCATCTCAAATATTTCCTGAATTCTATTCATATATTATAAAATGACACTCACCTTTACTGAAATTTCCATACAAATAAAGTACAATAGGCTAACAAAGAAATAAACGAGTAAAAATATAGAAAGGTCCAATTCAGCGGAATTCATTAATTTCATTATTTTGCCCACATGGTAATAACTGGAACACCTGCTTTCACTGAGTTCTGCCCTTCTTCTGTCATCAAAGGTGCTGACTGTCCCTGGTCTGCTGCTGTTTGATGCTTTTCCTCATCACTGTTCTTTACCAATGCTGGCTCTGTGTCCTCATCATGCTGGTTGATCTGTTTCTCCCCTCTTACTTAACTACAAGAAATAGTTACCTGGTCAAAACATCAACTCAAGTTAAAATACTGAAGTACTTTTGAAAATACTAAGTATTCAAAAGTACATGCATTCAAAAGTATTTAAGTATTGAGTTTGTCACATTTGTGGAACGTCATGCAAATCTCTAAAACAGTGGTTTCCAGATTAAGTCCTAATTTTTGCTATCCTGCATGTTGAAGATGTATTTCAAGAAAGAAAAAGTGAAACAGTGGATTACAAAGCTAAGCTGAGCCAAAAGGAAAGAAGAACAAGCAGCTTCTTGGAAATGGAGTGGAATAGAAAGTACAATATTTGACTTTAAAATGTAGTGGAGAGAAAAGTTATAATTACCCCCTAAAAATTATTCAAGTAAAGAAAAGAGACAAAAAAAAGTAGCTAAGTACAATAATGAAGTAAAATTACTTTGTAACTTTCCACTACTGCCTGAACTACATGTTACAGTCTCGTGCCACTTTTACAGAAAAGAAAAACAGAAGAGAAACTCTCTTCTTTCCAAGAAATGGTGTCCTTTTGTTATGTAGGTTTGAAACATTTAGCCTGCCTTGAGGGAGAGCAGTATGATTAGGCAGATAACATCTAACCTGCCTCAACATGTCACATTGATTATGAGAAATCTGTGGAAGGAACGGTTGCCACACATTTGGGGGCAAGTATAAAAACAGGGAGATATGTGATATTTTTAGAAGCAATTTGGTCATGAAAATAAGTTTTTGCCTCAAAGTGCTTAACTACACCTTGATGTTTACTATTATTATAATGAAATTCAGTAATACACACGGAAAAGGAATCCATCTGTTGGATCTATTTGATTATAGATGTTTAGTTACTTTAACACCGTCGTACCACACTGACATGAAATAATGGTGTTAAAGCAAATAGATTAAACAAATTAAACAAAAAAAGCAAAATAAACTTCTATACCTTTTTTAATATTTTTAGAAACAGATTAATCACAAATATGAAACTACTAACAACATTTTAACTGATCATCAGATTCGTTGCAATGGAAATTTTTTAAGACGTCTTCCTGTAAGAAAAAAATAGCATGGCAATGTGCCAACTGGGATCTGCAAACGGAAACCTGAGAGACAAAAAAAATTCCTAAAATTTAAATGAGTCAAAAGGAAAATGAAACATAAACACCTTACATCTGTAATTATAAAAAGGAAAAAAACTAAGAAAAAAAAAAACTTGAACAGGCCAGTTTGGAAGACAGGAAAAAGAGCAAGGGATAACTGGGGTAGGCTAAAGGCTTTAAGTATTTATTTCTTTTAAAATATTGAAACATTAATACAAATAAACACATATACCAGATCTTTAGAAATTAAACAGTATATTAATAACTGCTCTCTAAAAACAACATCTATCTGTCATGGTTTTAATAAATAAGAAAAGACAACTATTAAAAGTAGATGTTACAGAGCATGATTATAGGTTAAATAGCCCACAGTGACAGCACACTTTAAAGTCCAGTTTCTGTGCCAAAGTCCTAAACTTTGTATAATAAGGCAGAAAACAGTCTAGAAAAGATTAAAAACTATACAAACACTGTTTGAAGAGAAAAAGTTGTCCAACTTCTACATGACATAAACTAGGAAGGCCTACAGGGTGTACAAAACACATTAGTGTTGGTCCCAATATAGATTATTGTTGGCTATTATAATTAGACTTTACCTTGATTTGTCCTAAAGAGGAGGAGGAGGAGGTCTAAAGGGAAAAGATCAACCCAAACGCTGAAGGGTCTTCACATTCATTCACTGATGCGTACAGCTGAATGGCTACAATTATAGTATAGGCAGCACAGGCTATGTTCAGATATTAAAGTGTTTATTTTTGTGACACTGTCAGCACTTGACTGGGCTATCCTGCTGCATTTTAACAAGTCTGGACTACCTTTGATCTGCCCTTAAAATTATAAACGCATGGATGGGGGAAACTTGAACTGGATTGTTTTATATGTATGTTTTCCATACAGTTTATTCAAATTCAAATACATTAAATTCTTATTAGATGGTGTCCAGTTTGATTATCACCTGGTTTCAGCTGTCTTTATTTGGTATCACTTTCAAACTGGTCCAATATTTGCTGATAAAAAAAAGACAATAACGAAAACCAAAAAGGAAGCCTGTAAAGAGATTTTTTAATTTCATTTTTCCTTCATAGTTTTTAAAAAATGAAGAAAAAGATGCAACCGAATAAGAAATTGTATTTTATAAAATCCAACGTTTAGTGTGGATGGATTTTCCCCCCCAGATTTGATCTTTTGTGCTGTAGTTTTCATGATGCACTCCATGTGAAGTTAATTAATGAATAA